AGTTGTACTGGGCAGTGAAAACATGGAACTTTTATAGATAAAATGTAGTGACTCGTCTCACATCTATTTGATATGGTCACTAGACTACCATTTCAGGCCACAGCAAAATTATTCTCCTGCTAGCATACCGAATGGAGCTTAGAATTCAAGTGTAAATATGACTAAAGATTTCTGCAGCTGACACCAAGAACTATGGTTTTGAAAATAAGTTTCAAAACCAGATTCAGCAAAGGAAATTATTTGTTATCTCGTGACATCTCTCAAAAATGGTTTTGATGCAATGAAATAAAGATCTACAGAACCTGGTGAAAAAAAATCTAAAAGGGAGCCTCATTATTAGACATGTGCGATTCGTTTTGGAAAAATTTGTTTTTCTGACTACTTTTCGTTATTCGGAGATTCGGATGTATCCGAATTTCCGAACAACAGAAATGACGAATGAAAACGAATTGTTAGTGGTAGTCTGTCCAAATTTTCATCTGTGGACGAAAAAAACATTTTTTTAATGTCACGAAATGAAAACGAAACGAAATGAACATTCGTACAGGCTACCACTAACGGATTTCATCCGAATCCAAATCCCGAAACCAAATTGACTTTCGGATCCAAATCCCGAAAACAAATTGACTTTCGGATCCAGATCCCGAAAAACAAAATAAAGCAAAATCCGAATCAAAACGAAACTAATTTTTTGCCAGTGCACATGTCTACTCATTATATATTATGCAGAAACCTTTGACTGCCGTGTTAATCCTTTAATAAAAGTGGGTAACAATTCATGCTTTTCCGTAACAATATAGATATAGGAGAAATAATATTGGGGACCCCTGACTATGCGTGTGAGCAATTAGCCCTTCTGCACCCCTATAGTTACACTAGCTAATAACCTTTGAAGTCTACTTGTAGGTGAGAAGTTTGGGTATAGGATAAATAGAGCTTATGTTAATACCTTACATACTGTGTTTGGTTCTACAAATATAAAAATTGCATAGATTACTATTGGTTTAGACCAAATCACGCAGTTAACCTACTACAATTATGAGCTTATTGAAAAGAGGGGATTACTTATTCATACTTTAAAAATAAAGACCTATTGTAGGCAAGTAGGGAATGGGCATGGTGCATACAATAACACAGGTTGCCCTCTTTAACCACATTTGATAACTAAATAAGTTTTTATTTTTAACATTTTAAGTTTAGATTTTTTTTGTATATAAATACCACATAATACACAGCTGCATTGGTAGTTGTATACTATTTCATTACCTAATGCATCTGAAATCTGAGATGGTAAACCTGAGAAAATAACATTTAATTTCCACTTACCTTTAGCCCTGGTTCACACCTAGGCGTATTGCATATGCGCGTCTGTCGCGCGTTTTTTTTACCGCGATTTGCGGTAAAAAAATCGCGCGACAAACGCGTGTTTCCGAGGGCTACTTGGATGTATCCCAATGGAAACGCGCAACAAAAACGGCCCAAAGTAGTACATGTACCTTTACAGGCGTGGGCCGTTTTGTAGCGCGTTAGGGACAGGCTGAAATACGGCAAGGTGTGAACCAGACCCATTGAATACAATGGGATTTAGATGTTTGAGCGTTTTGTAGAGCGTTCGTCGAGCGTAGAACGCGCTACAAAACTTTCAGGTGTGAACGAGGGCTTAAATAGAGCTGCCCTTGCAGTCATGTGGTTCATATCCAGTGTTATGGATCTACTCTACTGTTTGGGTACTAGTGGACTACATGTTGAAGCCAATGGGGCTGTCATGCAAGTCTAAAAGGCAGACATATCACACAGAGCTAATAGAGAAGGTTAGTAGAAATGAACTGCACCTTTTCACTAACATATTTGCTAGGTTTATTGGGAATAGCCATATGTGGTTTTTGATTTACAGTGCGATTAGCGTCTTAAAGTAAACAAGATGTCTTAATTAAATTTAAATGTTAGTTCATTGTGATCTGCCAGTGTATGTCATCTGTCTGTATGTGATATTTTAATCAAATTAATCTACTTTTTACATTTAGGAATAAATGTATACAAAAGATGCACAGAGAACTGAGGAACATACATCAAATATTTGACCTGCAACATGCTAAATCTTTATCCCATCTAGTACTGTTCTACAGTAAACTAAGAATAAAGGTGCCAATTACGTTTAAGGATGTTCAAATCGGTAGTTGCGTCGGTCATTTTTTAAACAAAATTAGCTATGTCCACTACCATCTTACATGGGAATGGGCACTATGCATTTTCCATATTTTAAAAGTGTACACAAATAAAAGATACCCTAATGTAACCATGCTATGTATTCCTTAAAAAATAGCTGGTTTCCTAGTCAATCGGGAAGCCGGGCAGCACGTCATGACCCGCCTCCCTGATTGGCTAGGAAGCCTGGCTGCCTAGCAACAAATAAAGCCGGCTTCCTAGTCAAGCAGGAATCCAGCTTCACTTGTTGCTAGGCAGACTGGCTTCCTAACCAATCAGGAAGCTGGGCGGCACGTAATGATTGGTCAGGAAGCCAAGCTGCCTAGGAACAAGTCAAGCCGGCTTTCTAGCCAATCAGGAAGTCAGGAGGCGGGTCATGACGTGCCGACCAGCTTTCTGATTGGCTAGGAAGCCAGCTTCACTTGTTGGTAGGCAGCCTGGCTTCCTAACCAATCAGGAAGCCGGGCAACACTTCATGACTCGCGCCCTGGCTTTCTGATTGGTCAGGAAGCCACGCTGCCTGGCAACAAGTGAAGGTGGCTTACTTGCCAATCAGGAAGCTGGAAGGCAGGTAATGAAGTGGCGTCCGGCTTCCTGGTTTGCTAGGAAGCCGGCTTCACTTGTTGCTAGGCAGCCTGACCAAGCAGGAAGCCGGACGGCACCTCATGACTCAACGCCGGGTTCCTGATTGGTCAGGAAGTCAGGCAGCCTCAGCAAGTGAAGCCGGTGTTCTTTCGCTAGAACACTGGCTTCACAGACAACCAGAAAGTCGGACGGGTCATGATTCGCCCGCCTGACTTCCTGATAATCGGGGGTCGGGGCAACGTTACTTGGTATCGGCGAATTACCGGAAAAAAAATATCCGTACACGATACCGAAAAACCGGTATCAGTGCATCCCTACTTGTTTCTAATGGTCCACACTTGTCGTAAAAACATCCTCCTGAAGAAGCCATGTATGGCAAAACACATGTTGAAGAAACATCAATATGCCAACTACCACGTCGGTGTTATTTCAGCATGACATTGTGGGACTCAAACTGCATTTAAGTCATTGTGGAATCAGTACTCAAATATTGCACCTTATATATGCCATATGTACCTCATGGTTGACTTTGTTGTTTTTAGCTACTATATTTTAATTGTTATTAATAAAGTTTATTTTGTTTTAATTGAAGTCCTTGTTTGTATACTTTAAAAGTCCCCACCAAGCTATGTGCCTGTTTTGTTGTGTTTGTACTTTATAGCTATTGGGTGTGGTATCATGGAGTTCCTCTGTGGAACATTACCCATTTACATTATTAATTTTAATCTGGTAAAACTGGCAGTTACACACTTTCAGTCCTAGGGTAACAGCGCTTACTCGCCCCCTTCTGTATGAGGACAACAGAAACAGATAGGACTACGGAACCCTAACCTACTCAGATTGTCCATAACATAGATGGGTAGGGTTGTGTAGTCTTCAGAGAACAATTTCATTAATAACAGTCAGCACAGGTAGTGAGCAGAGGAGGTGCTCAGCTCACAAGATTCCCAGTAAGATCTACAGGTATTTTTTTTTAACTTATTCATCAGAAAAAACAAAACATGCTCAATGGTTATTCAAGAGAGCAAAAGCACCAAATAAGAGAAGTTGATAATGAGCAATTACATAGACTTTAAAATAATTTTTAAATAGCAGCTCTATGCACAAAAGCATTCATACTAGAAGAGGGAGGGGCAGTACTGTAACCCAGTCAAGCTTTACTTCATTTTGCAGTACTATGCTTGCTAATTTCAGGAGAGAGCACATAGATTACCTAATCAGGGAGCTGCTACGTCACTTTCTAATAACAATCTTGGCCAAGTTGTATTGCTTTGACTGCAGTCGAGAAAAGTAAATAACAGGACCTTGCTATAGTGACTGAGCAGGGGCATCTGGATTGGAAAACTAGGAAACTAGTAGGTAAGACAGTTCATATGTAAGTCTTTCAACTATGTATTTGGTGCTTTGCCTACATCTACACATGCCCTGTTACTAAGAGACTGTGAACAGATTTGGACATCGCACGAACAGGAGAGATATTACCAAAGTGGCTAATGGCATAATTATGATGAACTGCAGTGGGCTTGTGTGTTTAAAACTTTGGAAATGTTGGCAGGTATCCTTTAATATGATTGAGGATCTAAAGGGCCATGTAAACTTTCAATAAGGTGGCATAATGCCATGATGCATGTACCACTAGGTTCTAATGTTTATTTTAACCTTTGAACAGAAGCTTAACAGATACATTCGAACACTGTGCCTGGACTAAATTAAATGAGAATTAAAACCGCCCCTAGAATTCCATGCTAAAATTTTGCATGATTTTATTTTCAGTAAGTCTACTACAGCAGCTGAGGACAAGACTAGTTCAGACTTTCACAGGCCAAGGGCAAGGGTCTTCCTGTACAGGGCATTAACTAGGATTCCAGATGAGATAAAGTTACCTTGGACTTTGTATGCATTAGGAGTTGCCAGCTCTTGTCTCATTTCCTTCAGTATTGAGACTGCTGCATACCAACAGCAAGTTTAGCAAAAGTTTTACAGAAAAGCAACAATAAATTTACTATTTTAGCTTTTCATATTTTAGAAGAGCCTGTTTAATTGGATAATGGGTAATGGACCCTGTAATTCTGTAAAAAGCATTCAAATATCTAGACAAAAAAAAATGTTAAACAGTTAATAACATGCTAATATTCAAAGTCAGATGAAGATGACACTTGCCTGTTATTTGCCTCTTAGAGCCATTTTAACTTATTTGCATTTCTGACTTCTGTATTGTTTATCATAAAGAAATTTGTCTGTCTTAAAACCTGAAGTGCTACTGCATCTTGCCAATGCAATGTAAAGAGCTATTTTTTTGTGGTTCTACACATTACATTTTTTCTACTAAATAATACAAGCTCAATGAGGTTTAGCATAGGAGAGTGTAGCTAGAAACACAACACTCCTATCCCCTATATGAAAAAGGGACCCAAAATAAAATAAACAAAAAACGTAATATTATTAAAACGTAAGTAACAAATGCACCAAATAACGTCATCAAAAGATGCTGACCTAAGACACAATGCTCCAATGATACACAATAAGATCAAAGAAAAAAAAAAATCTTTAAAATCAATAATATACAGTATGACAACTACATCTTGTAAATTATACCCAATACTGCCGGCAGTCTATCCCTCTAAAGAATATTTGCCCCCGTTTCATCCCTTCCTAACAATCGGATAATAAAATACAGCACCTATAAATAAGCAAAAAAAATATATATATACTGAAATCATCTATTGTTAGTTTTTAAGATATGGCGATAAACGAGCCTAGTTCAGCAAATCTTGTAGAAGCCATAGCAGATCAACCAGCTTATTGAAAAAAGGTGGCAGTAATGCACTCTATGTGTGCACAAATACATAAGAAAATACACAGACTTATAAAATTGCATACACGGGTAATCTCACACGTCTCTGTTCTCTCTCACACACATATTGACAGCTAGAAGGAACAGGATACAAATTGGAATGGGTGTCGTACTTGAAACAAGAGCCGGCGCTTGTATAAAAAGATTGCTTTGAGCCACAAATGCGGTGTTGTTAAAACGGGTGTTTTGGTTTTAGGTTCTATTTACATAGTACTATGTAAGAGGTTTGTTGTGTTTCTGTATTATTTTTTTTTTTTTACAAAAAGTTTTTGATTAGTCTGCATGTAAAATGTCTCTTATACTCATTCTGCTGGCAGCATATTTGGTAATAATATAACTTATTAAAGTCGGATGTTGTCCGTTGGAGTAATGCAACAGATACAAATGATTCTATGAAGGGAATACTGTAAAGGGTGTACTCTTAGCCCACAAATCAATCAGTACAGGTCTACCATTCCAACTTGTACCCTTCTGCCCCCCTAAAATATGAGGTCTGATCAGCGTGCTCTGTGGTTAGAGGTTAAAAAGCAGATTATAAAATACCTAAATTCAGATCTTTTTTTTTTGTCCTGATTTGGCCTAAAATGGAGTGTAATAAACAAACTCTGATCTGGAAAAGACCAGAATTGGTTAAAGCTATGAAACAATGTGCACTGGATATCTATTTTCACTAACAAGAAAAACACTACGTCAGCTACCACAAATTAAGATATTTTCCTGATGTGACATTTTGTTAGAAAATAAGTGGAGTTGGTGTGTTTATTATATCTCAGAGTTCCAAGCAGGTATTTTTTTTTCTTCTTGAAAATAGGATTCCAAACTAGTGTGTTTAGAGTCAGTTGACTGTGCAATCTCTTAGTGGCAACTGAAACAGCTACTAAAAATGAAAACTAAAATAATAAAAAGGACATTTTTTCCTGAAAAAATCTCCTCCTTTTCCTGGTATAAGAAGATCATAGTGTATTATCGCTCTATGGCCATTACATGGCAGATAAAAAGCCCCATTAACTTTGTGGGTTCAATCTTTTTTTTTCCTCTATTTGTTTTTTTTTTTATAGATTTTTTTGTACTTTTTTTTAAGCCCACGTTAAAAAAGTGGGCACAAGGCAAAGCTGTAAGTTATTCCAGAAAGTGTGAAAATCACTTGGGCAATAGTAAAAACACTTCAGGGTACAAAAAAGCTTGACTACATATTTCAGTTTTCGTCCTCGAAAACACAACATAAAAGTGGGCTTAATGCTCCTTTTTGTATTCTATATGCACCTTGGCCTATGGCGTTTTTGCCCTGTGGCCTGCAGGGCGATAAGTGCGCAATATGATATAACCAGTGAAAAGTCCATTTTAATTCCCCTAGTTTGCTGGAACCAGGGTTAACTTAATCTCAAAACTCCCATTCGTTGGGCTCTTCCCGGCTAGCGGCCTTCTCTAAACGGTGAATTATGCTGTTCAAGTTTGCGGCTTTCTTTTTCCTCAAGGTGTTGTCCCGTGTGTTTTTGGAACTTGATGTCTCAGAAAAGCTGAACAAGCTCTGGATAGAGTTTCCTTTCTGTGAACTTGTACTTGGCACGCTGGATAGTTTCTCAGAATCCTCTTTAGGTTTTTGGAAACCTTCCTTCGTAGGAATCAAGCTTGAGGCAGCTGAGGTAGAGGCATGCTTTTCAGTAGCAGATTTCGGTGTTGTGTCTAAAGTTTCTCCAGAACACAGAGTTCCAGGAAGGGAAGTCCGACTCTGCAGTTTTCTCCGGCCTTCCTCCTTCCTATCAACCGAGCAGTCTCTGTCTGACCGGGTGGTTTCTGGTCTTTCAGTAGATCTAGCATCTTCACCCTCTTCAAAAGCTGAATCAGTCTGTCCTCCCTGAGACTTTGAGTTGTCACTATTGAATTCATCTCCATCTAACACACCATGCTTCCCATCACTTGTGCTTTCCATGTCCACTCCATCACAGCTATCTCCTTCTGAACTTTGGGCTGCTCTACTGCTTGTAGCTGATGGGGAATCGCTGGAACCAATTTGCCCGTGGCTACCTGCTTGAATTTCTTCAATGAACAGTTCTCTGCGTATACGAGACCTGCAAAAGGAAAACAAAAAGCCAGTTTTACAAATGATGAAGTTTATACACTTCTATTTTTATGTAGTCAAAACATGTACCATCATATCTATTTGGCTCACTGACAGCAAATAAAGTATAGTGTAGCTAATTATTCTTTCTAGTCTGCCTGAATCTGGTTGTAACAAAAGTTCTTTGTAATTCCACTAGTTCATCTGAACCTTCAGAGGAGTGGTGGTCAACTTTCTTGATATTGAGGCACTCAAGTACATCTCCCAACACCACCAAGAGGCCACAATACTACAGAAAATTGTGGACTGCTGAAAAAGCATCACAGGCAGGAGACATGTCACATGAGACTGCTAAAATGACTCCCCCTACAAACCAATTCTCACCACAATCAGTATTCACCATTGAATCCTAGGCAGTATTGAAGATAAAGGCCCACGAAGGGCCTGAAAAAAAATTCTTAATTCCTTTTAAATGTACAAATCATTTTCAAAAGTAATGCAATAAATTACACACACAGTACAGAAAAATTGCTGTAAAGTAAGAATGCTTTCAAAAACATATTTATATTTAAAAAATGCAAAGTGAGCGAACATAAGCAAAATCGAAATCAAATCAATATTTGGAGTGACTACCCTTTGGCTTCAAACCAGCATCAATTCTTACACTTGCACAAAGTCAAAGTTGGTGGAGTATCTGGAGGAAGATTGGAGTTGGTTGAGCTTACCTGGTGGTCTTCCTTCCCATATCACAACAGTTTTTTGTGGTGCAGTTGGACACTTATGGTTTTATGCAAGTAGCATTGCAAATAAAGATTTTATGTTTTTTATGATATACAATATGGCCTCTATTTCTTTTTATTTGGGATTGAGATAATACGGCATCTGGCTTCCTGGGAGCTTGTGTGTGCTCGGACAGGAGGATTATAACCAGTAGATTGCATTAAGCGTAGATCCTCGACGGGCTCTACAACAAAGAGGGACAGCACTCTATTGGGGGTTCACTCAATGGTCATCATCTGGTGGTGGATGGACAGTGGATTATTTGTGTTTCTCTCTGTTCAGACAGATTTTTTTAAAACTTTTATACACCGTGGATGTGGATGGAATTGCCTTTTTTTATGCACATATTGTTTGATAGACAATCACGTTGGTTGTGTTATGTATATATTTATACGCGGCACATACATACTTGCATCAGAGTCAGGTGTATGATTAATCAGTTACAGTATACCAAGCAGGTGCTAATGATGATCAATTTCATAGGTAGGTTGAAACAGTCATTAACTGAAACAGAAACAGCCGTGTAGGAGACTTAAAACTGGGTGAGGAACAGCCAAACTCTGCTACTAAGGTGAGGTTGTGGAAGACAGTTTCATGTCACAGGTCATACAACATGGCAAGACTGAACACAGCAACCAGACACAGTGTAGTTACACTGCATCAGCAATGTATCTCCCAGGTAAAGATTTCAAAGCAGACTGGAGTTTCGAGATGTGCTGCTCAAGCTCTTTTGAAGAAGCACAAAGAAACGGGCAACGCTGAGGACCCTAGATGCAGTGGTCGGCCTTAATGCAGCAGATGAAGGACACATCATGCTTACTTCCCCTTTCGACATCAGAAGATGTCACGCAGTGCCATCATCTGAAAGAAAACATCGGGGTGCAGAAAAATGGCAGGAGGTGCTTTGGACGGAGGAGTCAAAATTTTAAATATTTGGCTGTAGAAGGAGGCAGTTTGTTCACCGAAGAGCGGTACAATAATGTGTCTGCAGGCAACAGTGAAGCATGGTGGAGGTTCCTTGTAAGTCTGGGGCTGCATTTCTGCAAATGGAGTTGGAGATTTGGTCAGAATCAATGGTGTCCTCAATACTGAGAAATACAAGCAGATACTTATCCATCATGCCATACCATCAGGGAGGAGTGCGATTGGCCCCAAATGTATTCTGCAGCAGGACAACGACCCCAAACATACAGTCAATGTCATTAGGAACGTGTAAAGAAGAACAAGGAGTCCAGGAAGTGATGGTTTGGCCCCCACAGAGCCCTGATCCCAACATCATTGAGTCTTTCTGGGATTGCATGAAGAGACAAAAGGATTTGAGGCAGCCTACATCCACAGAAGATCTGTGGTTAGTTCTCCAAGATGTTTGGAACAACCTACCTGCCGAGTTCCTTCAAAAACTGTGTGCAAGTGTACCTAGAAGAATCGATGCTGTTTTGAAGGCAAAGGGTGTTCACACCAAATATTGATTTCATTTGGATTTCTCTTCTATTCATTTACTTTCCATTTTGTTAAAGGAGAACTATGAGGTGAGTGCTTTTCACTCACCTCATAGTTCTAGCCGACCTGTGACAGGTCGGCTCAGTAGATTGGGAGGTGAGTTAACACATACCGGCGTTCGCTCACCTCTCGATCCTGTCACGGCTCTCTGCCGTGACAGGGGAGGGGCTGGATTCCCCCCTCCCCGCTTTTTTGGCTCCTTGCGGTCCTAGATAGACCCTTTAATACCGCATATGAGAGGTGGTGTCTGAGGGATGGAGGCCAGAGGGGTGGTATCTCTTTAATCTACTCTACACCCTTCTGGTGGACTCGGATGAATTACCTTTTATGTGGGAGCGGGGCCTGACAACTGACCTCCCTGATGTTTGGCAGCAATGCTGCTCCCGGGTCTCTTCTGGATTACTTAAAGGAGAACGATGGGGTGAGTGCTTTTCACTCACCTCATAGTTCTAGCCGACAGATCCGCTTCAGCGTCTCAGTATACCGCGAGCAGCAGTTGGCGGTATACTGCGGCGTCTCAGTATACACTGAGCCTAGGGTGACGGGAGGACGCTAGTTTGTGTCCTCCCGTTACCCTAAGGAGAACTATGCGGAAAAGCCTTAACCCCATAGTTCTCCTTTAATTGATAAAAAATAAACTATTAAGACTTTTATTTCTGAAAGCATTTATTCACACCTGCCTACCTAAAACTTTTGCACAGTACTGTATGTTAGTCAGCATCTTTATCATCTTCATTTCCTTACTGCAGCCATGTGAATACTACAGCTCTTGACTTCACTCCACTTACACCACTGGGCCCTTTGACTTTACCCATATCACCTCTTATATAAAACATCAAACTACAGCAAAATAAACTTTTTTTATAAACTTGGGCCACATACATCATAGAATATCTCTATACAAGGCAGTGCCAATGATAAAAAAAAGTGTTCAAAATAAGTTAAGGTAGAAGAAAAGTCTAAAAAACCCCAAGTTTAAAACTCTGCCTCCCCACTGCTCATATACATGCTGCATACAGTTTGTAAGAAATCTTAGTGTAAATCCATTTACAAAAAAATATTTTTCTGAGTGGTCGTGTGACCACAAAGCTCTGACTCCTCTGCGTAGATGTGCAAGCTGAAACCGGGGCTGAATTATACAGAGCTGTGACATCACCTGCCAGCTACCACTGCTCTTGCCGTTGTCAGCCGCTCATTTACACTGGGGAACTGTAGCTTTGAGGTCAAGTGACCGTTTGATTATTAAAAAAGGTATTTCTTACAACTGTATGCAAAATGTATATTAGCAGTGGGGATGGAATATCTTAAACATGGGTTATTTTAATCTTTCCTTCTACTCTAAGATACTACAGACATCAGATGCTGGTTGGGCACACAATAAAATCTGGCCAATTAAAGTTTTGCACAGAAGGTCTTCCTAACAAGCAAATTCATATTGGCTGAATATGCGCTCTTTGACCTCTGAGGAAGACAGGGGGAACTCACGGCCTGCTCTGACATATACCGGTTAGATTTGGTGAAGCTAAATCGTATATCTGTAATCACCTTATCAAATGACAACCAATCAGAAGTAATTGGACAATCATATACACTACCAGCCAACTTTATTAGGTAAAAGTGGCAGCAACTCAATGCACATAGACAATCTGCTAAAGTTCAAACCGACCTTCAGAACGGGGAAGAAAGGTGATTTAAGTGACTTTTACCATGGCATGGTTGTTCATGCCAGACTGGCTGGTCTGAGTACTTCAGAAGCTGCTGATATACTGGGGTTTTCATGCACAACCATCTCTAGGGTTTTATGGAAAATGGTCTGGGAAAATATCCAGTAAATTGCAGTTATCTGGGTGAAAGGAGGATGGCCAGACTGGTTCTCTGAATGCACAACACACTGAACCTTGAAGCAGATGAGCTACAGCAGCAGAAGACCACACCGGGTGCCGCCCCTGTCAGCTAAGAATAGGAACCTGAGTATACAAATTTGCAAGGGCTCAGCAAAATTGGACAACAGAAGATTGGAAAAACATTGCCTGGTCTGATGAGTCTCGATCTCTGCTGCAACATTCCGATGGACGGTTTAAAATTTGGCGTAAACAACATGAAAGCATTGACCTATCCTGCTTTGTATCAATGGTTCAGGCTGCTGGTGGTGTAATGGTGCGGGGGATATTTTTTTGGCACACTCTGGGGCCCCATAGTACCAACTGAACATCGTTTAAATGCCGCAGTCTACCTGAGTATCGTTGCACACCATGTCCATCCCTATATGAGCACAGTGTACCTATCTTCTAATGGCTACTTCCAGCAGGATAAAGCGCCATGTCACAAAGCTAAAATCATCTCAACCTGGTTTCTTGAACATGATAATGAGTCCACTGTACTGAAATAGCCTCCAAAGTCACCAGATCCCAATTCAATACAGCACCTTTGGGATGTGGTGGAACGTTAGATTCGCATCATGGGTATGCAGCCGACAAATCTGCAGCAACTGTGTGATGCTATCATGTCAATATGGCCCTCTCTAAGGAATGTTTCCAGCACCTTGTTTAATCTATGCCACAAAGAATGAAGGCAGTAGTGAAGACAAAGGGGGTTCAAACTTTTACTAGGAAGATGGACCTAATAAAGTGGCCAGTGAGTTTAGATCTGCTATGGATTGCACTTTTCACATCCTCTTTGCACTGCAAAAAGCCCCTTAATCTTTAGAAGCTGTTGTACCAGAGAAGTTACGTATTGTCAGTATAAGAAGATTGTCTCAGTATAGGTTTTACCTGTAATTATGGAACCAGTTAATAACCGTGCTGGTTTTCAGGTTCAGCTGTGTGGCAAGCTCTTCTATAGTTTTTGGAGAAGGGTATGGCTTTTGCTGGTAAGCCCTTTTTAGAGCTTCCTTCTCCTCTGGAGCCAGCACCACTCGTGGCTTCTTCAAATGATGTTGTGGCTGTGGACTGGAACCCTGGCTGTAATCCAGGCCTGCAGATGGAGGTTCACATGGCTGACTATCACTCACTGAGCTGTGTCGTCTTTTCATGTATGCTGCAAGCAAAAATAAAAAACATTTATTGATTTTCACTTTAGAACAGAATCACAAATGAATCCAAATATACATATCTATAGATATATGATATATCTACAGATATATCTACAGATATATCTACAGATATATATACACACATACACACACACATTAATGTCATAGCTCTGAAAAAAAAAAACATTGTAACCAGTTTACAGATTATATCAAAGATCAATTGTCTGTAACTGGTCTAATTCCATTATGTGTTTCCTAAAGATAAACTATCAAATATATAATTATTATACTTATATGTTCAGCATTAATACATAAACTGTTGGCCAGATGCTGCCTATCATTTCCTGACTTATAGGCAGAAGGAAAGACCCCAATGATCAGAGAACAACTATGCTTATGTTTGGCCAGCCTCTTGCAATTCCATGTATAAAGCACCTACTCAGCAGAATCTATGGGTCATGAAGGAGAACCAAGGACAGCAGTAACATAGTGCCAATAACTTTTACACACATTCTGCCTGTTCTTCTGAAAACAATGGGTGGGGCCTTTCTTGCAAAGTGAGTAAACAGCATGGCCAGGTATGGGGAAAGCAAATACATTTCCGGGGTGCATCAATAGAGACATCACCAACAGGAGAGAGAAGATCCTGGTTCCACTTCTAGAGACCTCACTTACAAATATATATTGATAAGCTAGGAGTCCAGAGATGGGCAACAAAAATAGTAAATGGTTCTGAGGGATAAAACATATCAGGAGAGACTGCAGGAAATTAATATGTGCAGCCTGAATGAGGGAGAGTAAAGGGGGAACATGAATTAAACCTTTAAATACATTAAGGGTGTGAATAAGGTTCAGGAGGGCTACATTTCCAATATGGCGCTTATATCAAGAACACAGGTGAAAGACCTCAAACTAGCATTAGGGAAAGTTTAAAACTAACCTTAGACTATTTTATTTTACCAAATGAGCAGTTTATACTTGGAACATACTTCCAGCAGAGGTGGTGAATCATTCAACAGTGAATTTAAATATGTCTGGGATAAACATAGGTCGATACTCAGGCAAAAACATAACAAAATGAGCAGACTTGGCAAACACCTCTGTGTTTTTAGCTTGAACCTAGCAAAGGATCCAGACCCTAGTGTTTCACTTTGGCCCCAGCTCAGTTGCTATACCGCCAAATAAAAAATAAAAAAATTAACTTGTTAAAAGGCAGCGTACAAACCTTACCCTTGCTTATTACGTTGCCCATTACCAAGTTGCCATTTTCTAACAGCAATATCCAGAGATGGAAATCTGGATATGGAGAAATCTTTATATCTTTAGGAGGTAAAATGTAAAAAATATTTATGCTGGCTGTAAAAACCCAAATACCACCTCTATTAAACAGTATAATGTATAGCTCAGATAAAGACCAATGCTTTTCGGAGTAACTCTAGGAGGCAATATAAAGTTTTATTAATATTATTGCTCACAGAAGTTCTCCAATTCGTCTGTTTTCTCTCTGAGAAAGGTGTCAATATGCTTGCTTCAATCCACTAGTTGGAAATTAAGGTTGTGCAAGAAACAGCAGAAGGTCTGGGTGCTACAGATAAGGTGGGGTGGGGGTGGGGGGTCTTGTTTGTATATCAAAGATTAATTCCAGTTTTGTGGAGAAATAAAATCCCCTTTAGACAAATTATTTATTTTGCAAGGTTATTGCAGATTTTTACCTTTCTATGGTCTAAGCAAAATGTTTGCTATGCCAAGTCAGTCCTCAGATTCTCTGGGGAGCTCTCGGTCTGCCTTCATTATCACCACCCATCCATAAACCCCTACGTTTTCCTTAATGTTGAAAACATAGTAAAAATACTTGATAACATTCCTGATTGGATATATAACAAATGACTTTTGTCCTACAATCATGATAATGACAAAGTGAATTGTCATTCGCTACAGTTGCACACTATATAACCACTAGATGGTGCATGAGACTATCTAATCTTTACTAAGGCACCATAGCAATTCTTATACACCAGCACGTAGTTATATTACAAAAGTCTTGTTAATGTTGTTCTTTCAAGCACAAATCAACTTCCAAAAGCCATAGTGTGGGAGAGTCTTGGATTGAGATATGCATATTAATATAAGTTTGGTTTAATAGAATAGAAAAATTCTAAGGTGCACTGTCCTTAACAATTCTACAGCTACATAAATACTTATAAACAGCTGTATACCTTTCTTTTCCATCCGTTTCATATCCATGAGCTTATCTACATTGTTTGGGTCATTGAGCCAAAGCTGCATACGTACAAACGGTTCTCTTCCTTTCAAGCTAAGTTTATGCCATGGCTTTGGTCTAGCCAGCAAATCAGAGACTGAGCCTTGAGTGAGCCCAAGAATAGTTTCTCCAAACAGACGTTGACCTAAAGAAAACATAAGAGGTAGAAACAATCCTTTAAAAACAATGCCTCTTTCAGAGGAGAAAAAACAATACTTTTTTGAGAGCAGACTGAAATTTTCTTTTACAAAATTTTTCCCTTCTTGGTTTTCAGATATTTTATCACAAAATATTAAACACAAGGTTTGTTAAAATACAAATACCTAAAATGCAAATAAACTAAATTAACAGAAGCCAACACAAAGTGGGGCAGCACAGTGGCTTATTGGTTAGCACTAATGCTTTGCAGCACTGGGGTCCTTAGTTTTAATCACGGCCAGGGCACGATCTGCATAGAGTTTGCATGTTCTCCTTATGCTTGCGTGGATTTCCTCTGGGTACTTCAGTTTCCTCCCACAGTCACTCAAGTCATGCTGGAAGTTTTATTGGCTCACGTCTAAATTGGCCCATTTTGCATGCCACCCCAGGAATGACCTGTTGACCTGCCCACCTAACCCTAACCCAAATTTGCCAAGCATATTCTATGAAAAAAGGCTATCAAGTGTATGAGATATAGTGCCCAAAGAAGAGGAATCATTATTTTAAATATTTTAGATTGACACCCATGTAATCCACTAACTTCTTTTGCCAGGCTAAACAGATTAATGTATTTCTTACCAAACATGACATTTATTCTCCAAGGTGTGAATACTTAAGAGAGAGCTATGGGGTAAGTGTTTTTCCCTATAGTTCTCTCAAGGGACATGGGAGGAAAAAAACTTGCATCCCCGTGACCCAAACCTCTGTATATATCGTGCTACAGCTTGCAGTATACTGAGACCACTCGCAGCCGGGACGGATCCCGACATTACTGTCGAGATCCACCCAGCTGTCTGAGTGACAGCTGGCTCTGCCTATCTAGAGGCAGAGCCAGCTGTACCCGCTCCCCTCCCCCGTCTGTTCCTCCAGTCAGCACTGGAGGATCTGAGCAGGGAGGTGGCAATCCCTGCAGGGAGGCGTGACTGACAGTCGCGGCTCTCTGCAGGGAGATGATCGAGAAGTGAGCGAGCGACGGTATGTGCTCGCTCACTTACCGATCTATTGAGCCGACCTGTGACAGTTTCATTGTCACACGTCGGCTCGAACTATGAGGATGAGGGATTTTAACTCACCTCATAATTCTCCTTCAAATGGAACCTGTGGTTGTTTAAAGTACTAAAAAAGTATATTTATGGTATGCAGGATCCTAGAGCTAGGCCCCAAGGACTAAAGATATCCAGCTGCATTCCTTTCCACCTTCTTTGCCTTTATGCTGACCTTTGAGGCTATAGGCAATTATGGAGGTAAGGGAGTTATCAAGGGAATGGGCTAAACACAACAATATTTTCAAAGGGTAAACACTTTAATATCAGAATTCCAGGGCTTTAGGCGCTTCAGCAGAACCACAAGGTTGCTTACGGTATATGAGCATGAAAATAGGCTGTATAAGATATTTTTTTCAACGGCTATTTAATTCAATAATCAAATAAAAACAAGGTAATTAATAAATGTCCCATCAGACTACTTCCTCAGGCTTGGGCCTTTTTTCTACACAGCTTGAATGGGCAAAATTCGTAGGATCAAAACCCAGTCTCTATATACTATGGGGGGAATTTATTAAAACTGTTCAGACAAAATCTGAAGCAGCTGTGCATGGCAACCAATCAGCTTCTCTTTCATTTTCAAATCTTAACTGAACAAACTGAAGAGAGAAGCTGATTGGTTGTCATGGACAAGTGCTCTAGATTTTGTCTGCTCCAGTTTTGATAACTTACCCTCTATGTGTTTAGTTTGGTAGAAAACCATTTGTACAGCAGCTACATTGAAAGCATGATCACACCTTAAAAAGATTGACAACATAAATCTGGGCGGGGGTGATAGGATTAGAAGAAGTGTAGACATAGCACAATTGCATAATAATATTACATAATTCTGTCGCCTGCTAAAACTGTTAACACATTCACAGAACCATCATGTTCCCCTAACAAAAATATAAAATGTATACATTAAAATTATTAGAATGTTTAGGAACCTGCACCATACCTAAATTGTTATCGGTTAAAACTTCTTTGACTCTCTTGGTTATGCCATAGGTGTCCAGTTCTGGAGACATGGCTACCAGTTCTTGAATACTCAGTGAGGATTGCCCTGGAAATGGAAGAGGTGTGGCTGGCTGAGAGTCGCCAGCTGTTGCATCACTGGACTCCTGCGCTTCACCTTCTTTGCTCGTCTCTATCGTAGGACACGGCTGTTGCACCAGTTCTGTCAAACTCTTTACTGATTCACTGGAGCTCATTGGAGACTCAGGAGCCGGACTGCAGCTGGTTGAACTCTTTGGAGTATTTTCTGTGCAAAACAATAGTGCATTTAATTAAAAATTTGCTGTCACTTTTACATCATTATGAAGCATGAATACTCTGCAACAAGAACAAGTAAACTATTTTATCATTGATAAAATAAAAAGTGAATACATGGTAGTACATAAGTGAGGGAAGTGGATTGTTCATGCAAATATGTAATCAAAGCATGGTTTTATTATCTCTAATTAGTCTGCAGTAAACAAACTGAACTTAAAAGTGATAATAATGTCAAACTGTTTTTACTTCCAAAAAGTTTTTATTTGTTTTGTTTTAAATGCTTATAACAGTGATCACACTTTCACATTCAGTGTGTATTAAAACGCAGTATCAAATAAAGGTTACAAACTCAGGTTTCCATGATATAATGATACAGTCAAACAGTGCAGTCCTCAAGGACTACATACCATTGGTATAAGTATGTCAAACTGTTTTTAAGCCATTTCAAATGCTGATTAATGTTTAAAAAGCTTCAGTTCCTGAAACAGCTGGTCCTCTGAGCAATGGCCCTGATATCCTGTTTTAAGGGGGTTCCTTTCCCCTTGCAGAAACCTATGGAACCACCCTTGCGCATGCTAGTAAGATGTGCGAGTCTCCACAAACACACAGGCATGGCAAGCTATTTGCCTGCAACCTGCTTCACTCTACTCCTTTCTCTCTTTTCCAAACTAATAAATGGACAGCTGCTGAAGACTGCTCTGTCCCTTGTGACCTTGTACTGAATAGGAAGTTCAGAGAGCCCAAGCTGAGAGAGTTGGAGCCAGCTGTTTGTAAACATGATGCCTGTTAAGTGTTTGGGCAAAAACATTAAATAAATACTTTTCAGCACAATGCATATTTGTTTGTTCTATGTTCATTATTGAAAAATATGGAATGTGTAAAGGAAATATGTCACAAAGCAACCACCCACATGAGAAGGCTCCAATGAGACCAGCTGTTCCTCGACATGTGCCCCCTCCTTGTAGATCAGTGGGGGTGAACCCAGGGCACGCAGAGGCCCCTCTGGTGGCACGCCACCCTAGGCAGGGGTGTGGAATTCGTATTGCTAGACACAGGCAGTTTTTCAACATTTAGTCCTGCTTTGCTACTCCTGTACTGGAAGTGACAGGTTCAATAAAGAGAACCTGTCACCTCCAAATGCTATCACACAGGGGCTTTGTAGCCCGTTTGATAGCAATAAAGTTAGGTGAAAAAAAAATAAAGAAAATATAAAATTGGGAAAATTAGAAAAAAAATACAGATAAAAATTAAAAAAATAGAAAAAAAAGTGATAAAGTAAAACATAAAGAAAAAATAAAATGTTTAAATATGTGTGTTTCTCTATTTTGCCTAAGGCAGTGATGCTGAACATTTTTTTAAACCAGTGCCCAAACTAACACACAATACCAAACTTATTTTCAATGTTGGCACTTTGAGATAAATACATTTATTTTGCATTGCAGTTTTGGCACTCAAAAACGTTAGCCATCACTGTCCTAGACAATGAGGCTAAAACAATGAAGTCAGTCACTGCCCCGGAAGGAGTCAGATTATACGCTTTATAATTAGATTTTATGAAACACGGTTTATCAAACTATAAACAGTGTATCAACATCACACACCTACTCAATCTTTGGTAACAAGTACTGTCTTGGAAAGATCAGAGTTACGATGAGCTCATCGAAATGATTTAAGGTAAGTCCAAGAATAAATTTAAGGCTACCGCCACTGAAATATACTAATTGCCCGGCAATCTCTGGGTTAAGTACTAATAGTTAGGGCTACAACAACTAATCAACATAATTGATTATTGAAAAAGTTCTCAACTTTTTAAATCATCGATTAATCGGCTTCCAATTGATTTGCCCTGTTCATGGCTCCACACACGCTGCGTGACACACCTCTTCCCCACGCCGCACCTCTTCCCCGCCTCACGCTCACCTCCCGCCCAAATCCACGATCGGCACAGGGACGCGGGGAGAAGATTATATTTTCCGAATCACTGATCCAAATCAATTATGCAGCATGTTAAGACTCTTGATTTGGATACATCATTTTGGGTTATAGATAATATAATAAAGCCATATGGTCAGTTTGAGAGCAGACAACTAGCATTAGCAGAAGGAGAAATAGGCAATGGAAGCCTCTATATTTCTCTCAGCAAAACTGGGGCAGAACTCTGGTCAAAAATAATAAGATAAAATTGATGAATAGCCAATTTAAAGATAAAATAACAACAACATAGCTTTTGATGCAATATTTGGCTTCAAAGATTTACCCCACAATAATTTTTTTGCCACTAAATGTCCTCAGTCTGATAGTAAGCAACATTCAACCCACTTCATCTGAGCCCGGGTCCTCCTGGGTCCACTCCAGCATGTGACTGGACAGTGAATGAAGAAGCGGCACAGTGATGAGATCATCTGTCACTTTGCTTTTTCTTCCAATCAGCATACGTCTCATCAGCACAGGAACTGATTGGTTCCTTGTACTGCTACTGCCTCTCACACTCCAGCTCTGCAAGAGGCAGATACCATGTCAAGTTCAGATACCTACATTGCTTGCATTTACAAATGCATTTAATAATGTATTAATGACTATAGAGCTGCATTAATTTGTGTCATTTGTATCTGCCAAGAGTTCAGCTTTAAAGCCTGATCACTGCTTCAGTAACTTTAATGAAACAATATAGATAGGTCTGTCTATGCAAGAACCTACAGTTCTTGATCCTGGCTACTGCAAGTATCATGACCTTGCTAATACTGTAAATATAATACTGCATCTTAAGAGCCCTTAATATGAAAGGTTGGAGTTTAGTCCTGAAAGCGAATGTAACCAAAATGCAGTGTGAAATACAGGAAGGAGCATGGACGCTATCTGTGTTATACACATGGTTTCAATAGGAATAGTTGGATTTTTGTCATCTTTCAAACTGTCCAATTTAACATACTGCAGGTTTATGTTACTAACTAACCAATCTGTGACCTGTAATCTATGTATAACTTATTGCCAGATTTAGGTATGTACTGCATTTGCCAATGCTGCACACACAGGATACCTCATGGAGGCAGGGGATAGAAAGCTTTCTTTGAATTGATCATCCTCAGTAAACAATTCCCATAGTGTGCTAGAATCGCTTGGGCATTCTGACACTTGAGACTTAACACTGCTAACAAATATGCTCTTTAGGCTAGGCTATGTCCACTGCAGTCTATTGGTCGATGGCATAGGTTGTGCTCAAAAAGCTAAATTAAAAAAACAGGAATTAGAAAAATAAATTATTTTAATGCCCACTCCATAGTTGTCAATTATTCCCCTTTTCTGCATGGTTTCTGTGTCCCCCTAAAATATGGCAATACAAGTCTGATGCAAAAGAAAAAAAGATCCAGCCCACATGGGTTGGGGGTTTTGCACTGTGTCAGCCTTGTGTTGCATAAAATCTAGCTTTTTTAAAAAACAAATGAGACCTTTACCCAGGGCACAGTAACAGGTTTGCTGCGTAGCAAACACTTAATTCGTCTGCCAGAGTCCCTCAATATACCTGTGTAAGTTCTGGGTCAGGTCTAAGTCACAGCTTACACAGGGGTAAGGACCATTTCTCCACCCCCACATGATAGTGCCCAAGTCTGGCTACAGACTGCTTTGGCACACTGTATTGCCTTGTGGAAGGAAAAGGAAAGAGTTTGGCAAATTCTCCCTGGGTACTGGATGACCTTGTTTCACGGGAACCATACTAACTCTGCAGTGACATTATTTTAACTGGTTCCTGAATCACAGCTAAAGGAAAGATGATAGAATTCTAATCCCTGCAGGAAGGTTTGTTACACCTCATAATGGGATTGTGGGGGGCGAGTGCCAAGCCATGGTGCCTACATCTGGACCTGATGGAGCCATGGTACTGATGCAACTAAGTGTTGCAATTTATCATGCTTTCCCCACCAGGCCAACTGTTTTGTGCCTCTTTATAAAAAAAAAAAAAAAAAATATGCATTTTACCATTTCTTAACAGTACCCTTACACTCACCGGCCACGGTCTTCAGAAGTGCTTTAATTCTTTGTGGCATAGATTCAACAAGGTGTTGGAAACATTCCTCAGAGATTTTGGTCCATGTTGACATGATGGCATCACACAGTTGCTGCAGATTTGTCTGCTGCACATCCATGATGCAAATCTCCCGTTCCACCACATCCCAAAGGTGCTCTATTGGATTGAGATCTGGTGACTGTGGAGGCCATAGGAGTACAGTGAACTCATTGTCATGTTCAAGAAACCAGTTTGAGATGATGTGAGCTTTGTGGCATGGTGCATTATCCTGCTGGAAGTAGCCATCAAAAGATGGATACACTGTAGTCATAAAGGGATGGACATGGTCAGCAACGATACTCATGTAGGCCATGTCATTTAAACAATGCTCAATGGGTACTAAGGGGCCCAAAGTGTGCCAAGAAAATATCCACCACACCATTGCACCACCACCATCAGCCTGACCCGTTGATGCAAGGCAGGATGGATCCATGCTTCCATATTGTTTACACCAAATTCTGACCCTACCATCTGAATGTCGCAGCTGAAATCGAGACTCCTCAGACCAGGCAACGTTTTTCTAATCTTCTACAGTATTGTCCAATTTTGGTGACCCTGTGCGAATTGTAGCCTCCATTTCCTGTTCTTAGCCAACAGGAGTGGCACCTGGTGTGGTCTTCTGCTGCTGTAGCCCATCTAATTCATGATTTGATGTGTTGTGCGTTCAGAGATAGTATTTGCATACCTTGGTTGTAATGAGTGGTTATTTGCGTTACTGTTGCCTTTCTATCATCTCAAACCAGTCTTTCCATTCTCCTCTGACCTCTGACATCACCCAGGCATTTTTGTCCACACAAGTGCTGCACACTGGATATTTTCTTTTTTTCAGACCATTCTCTGTAAACCTTAGAGATGGTTGTGCATGAAAATCCCAGTAGATGAGCAGTTGAAATACTCAGACCAGCCCGTCTGGCACCAACAACCAT